TATGGTGCTTTTAAAAATGAATCCCCTGTTCATCGAGATACTTAAACAACTTTCGAATAATCTCTTCTAAGATTTTAAGAATCGCGCAGGTTAGACTTACCGGTCAGTCGTTCTCGGGTTTGTGTATCGTAACTACTTCGAAGATAGGTCTCAGTAGATCATTCTTACAGTCTTTTGGTAATTGACCCTGGGTTATAAATAGATATAAACATATGCTTAAGGAATTCGTGACAACATTTGCTGATTTCTTCAGTAACCTAGAATGTATTCCATCGGGTTCCATGTACCTGCCTACATCAAGCCCATTTAACAGATCGGTTGCCTCTTAGCGGCATCAAATCCTAACCAGAATCCTCAAAGCTGAACATGAGATAACTGGAAAAATAGACATTCAGCATGTAACACCAAGAGAAAGTCAATAATGGTGGGCGCACGAACGTTCATTGGGGATTTAATTCATCGGGTGGCATGGCTCAGCCTTGCAGACGTGATCATCCTTATTCAACTTATCTCTTTTATTTATATCAAATATATTGTTCTATCTCCAGCCTAAATGTGTTTGCCATCATATATTAGTAACGGTTACTATACGATGAGTCAGTGTAGACAATGGTGTGACTTCCACGTAACATCTTATAGATTATGTAGTTACTTCATTACAAATCTACAATCTTGGGGTTAGGTTTATTATTAGACCAGTACGAATAACGAAATAGACCATACTTCTGCAATGGTATCATTTGCTGTGTCTAGATTACGCTTGCTAATGCTTCTTTTAGCGGCATTCATCATTACAATGGCTTCGGACAGCAAGCTTTTTGAGTCCGAACAGCACTACTGATACAACCACATGCAACTATTTTTATTTAGCCGTTCGTAAGTCGTAAGTGTGTTTGATTCGTATAAACTTCGTTGTACCATCATTTGCATTCATCACACCACACGCCACTTATCATAGGGTATCTACAGTCTGGGTGTTGAGATTCACGTCTTATTACTGTCCAAACATAAATCAGAGGCTTTTAAAAAGAGACTAGATACAAATAATACCCAGAGACGAAAAAACTAACGGCCAGAAAAATTGAAAACCTGTGACATTTTATAACCAAAAGTGCAAACAAATACAATAAATCACTGTACATAAAAGTACAGATGATAAATTACTTTCGATAAAAGATACTCTTGGCGAGTGCTCTGACTAAAATAAATTTCATCATAGCAATAATAGTAGTTTTAGTGCGTAATAAACGATCAAATCAATAAAATCAACTCGGTGAGGAGAAATGCCGCTGTCTGCTTCCAGAAGCGCTCGTGGTAATCTGGACGAAAGTTCTAACATATAAGAGACTATGTTTGTTCTGAGGAAGTAAGGATGTTACTGTAAGTATTTATCGCGTCGAAGAGCAAGATAGTGACTATTTTTAACATGAAAAATTGTGAAACTAGTGTGTGATGGAGCGAAAAGAGAGGACTATCAAGATCAATTAATGGATGGATTACCCATAAGGTGTGAATAGACTTAAGTCTAGGAATATCAGGTAGGTTGTGACGAGGAGTGAAGTAAGAAGAAATGGATCAACAATAAATGTAATAATAATGGAAGTAATTATGGTGGTTGTGGTGAGATAAGAGAAATGTATCATACAGCTGTTCCAGGCGAATAGTCATTACTCAGTTGTTGAACCTGTTCGTAAATTTTTCAGCTGGGTGCTCTTCGGTTATGTCTGATAAGACGGCATCTCAAGTATTGTCGACCCCGATTAAAGGAGTGTGATTTTATTTGAGTATAAACTTTTTGACGACAAATTGAACGTGGGTTACGTCGTAAAGCCCATAGTTAGGGTTCAGGTAGGGTATTTTAATTTGGTCGGATGGTCAAACTGAACACGAGGGAAAAAATGGGAAGTGTAAGAACTCTCTGTGTCAAGTTTAGTTTTTTTACAACAAATCGGGGGAAGTTACAGAACTTCAGACGGCCTTTGGCTTCTGAATGTTTCTATAACCATAATAAATATAGTAACGACGTAGGTATTTATTCAATCAGAAATGAGACACAGGGTTTATCACGTGTCCCTGATGTTTTTGATCGGATAAAATGTTTTCAGACGTTTTCAAGGCCCCTTTTGACTTTGTCGAGGAAATCTCTGGATCTCCCTAACACAGGCCACCTCTTATTCTTCAGTGACTTGTCGATATGTAACCTAGGTAAAATTTTCGTTCTCATAGGATTCGCCCAATTCGCAGCACGTATTTGTACTTGCTTGAAGAAATTAGTGTCCGTTTTGTGATGGAGATGGATGATTATAAGTTTTGAGAATTATTAGAAAAACTTAAAGTTCTAGCATTCATGGCTGTTATATGCCAAAGTTAAGAGTATTGCGTGCTTTGGCAGTATCCCCCTTGTAGTCGTTTAGCGTTTTCGAACTTTTTCTAGTAAAATACCTAGACTGCACTTCGTCGAAGTTCTAAGTAGGCGGCGGCAGCAGAGGAGGTAGGGTATTCAGCAAATCTGTCATGTTCAGCATTCTTGTCAAGGATTTATAAAGCTCTCAATTCCTCCCATTTTCGACCATCAAGAAACGTTTCTGGATAGCTTTTATTTCCAGGACATTTTTATTGTTTAGCAAATGTGCTTCTATTTTACCAGAAGTAAATGTTTCTTTGTTCTGTGGAATATCGTTTTAAAAAAGTTACTTGTGCGACTACCCTGATTAGAGGAGCGGAATTTAATATTGTTGACTCTGAGTCTAATAGTTAAAATGTAAAGTTATTAACAAAAATTCTAGGAATCATGGGAAGCACGATAACCCACCTAATAGTCAGCGAGTCTTACTGAAAATATGGGCTACGATTAAATGTGAATCAACAGCGTCTATGCAGTAAGATATTCGTACAATTTTCAACTCCGTATCGAAAAGCTCTTGATCTCTTGTAGGAGAAATTCAGTGAGTCACTAATCTTTGAAGTTCATGGAAGTGCGCAGTTCTGTAGTTTCTTTGGGATGTTTTCTGTTTTTCATCGTCTAGCAATGTCTGATCATTGCACTTCAATAGACTCGAAACTAATCAGAGGGAGAATGAGTTGGGAGCAAGATAAACCCGTAAATACATCGGCTAAAACACAGGGATAAAAACATAAGATTTAATATAGGAATTACCAATTACACTTTTATTAGTATATAAATCCACAAAGTAAATAGTCCTGTAAATCCTAAAAATAAATAATGATCTTATCGGTTTTACTGAGCACACTCTAGTTGGGGACGCTCGGTTACCCATTCACACCAGACCACCATTGTGTGCGCCATGCTAGGCTTCCTTCGCAACGAATATATCATCGAATTAACTCGTTCCTGAATTCTAATTTGACTGGCTTTGAGATACTCCATTATAAAAGTGGTACCAACAATGGCGTCATCAATCTCCGAATATCGTAACATTCTTGCACCTATAAGTACTGATTGGTCAGGATCCTGTCCTTTAGACAGATGTCAAAATTTAATTCAAATAATACCAGAACACTTTCCACTAAAGCACAGATTTCAGTAGTGTCCCATAGTTTTTCTTATCGAAAGTATAGTTTTGGACAAAGTGTATCGCATCTCGCATTAGTATCAGTATTGTACCGATGTTTTGTTAGGATTCCCACACTGTTGCGCGTACATTTTGCTTTAGTACGTTATTGAAGCACAGTTGCCTGATATGCTTGTAGCTTACGAACCAAGTATCAAAAATCCAATTCGAATACCAAACGGCTACTCGTAAACTATAAGGAACCAACCGAAATGTATTGTTCTAGTCATAGTCATAGCAATTGCACAATAGACCTTGAACTACTAGGTTTCCAGAGTGAAATTTTCAAAATGCCAAACAAAAATAGCGTGAAGCCGAGGATGTATACGATCAAAGTTATGAGTGAATAATTGCGAAGTCTGAGTGAACTAAATATATGCAAAGGAGAATGAAGTTTATTATATTCCATTTTACAGTCATTAAGCAGTTTGATACTTTCAGCACCATCCAGTGATCAATCATTTGTAAATGCATTTCAGCCCTACAGGAGGTCAGTGGCGACACGGACAGCTTAGTGGTAACGTCTCTGACTGCAGAACTGGGTGAAACGGCATTAAACACTTTAGCAGGCGGAATTTTCACTAAATTTAGAAGTAACCACTGTATTTAAAAGTGCAACATAGTATAAAACTTAAGTCAAGAGTCTCTGTAGATTTATGAATCACAGGTGACTGAAAAGTCTTCTAAAAGTTCCTCACTTTAACTTAGAGCGAAAGTGGTGGTTTTTAGGCGTGTCAGTGGGTCATATTTTAGTCTCACTGAAATATGTGAAGAGTGGGATCCTCCAGGTGATGTTTTTAGTATTTTGTATTCCTATCAAATGCAGGAGTGTGTAACTAGCATTTATAGGGGCTACGAAAATACAACAAGCATTGTTTGAATAAACATAGGTGAGAGCATGACGGCATCTTCTAAAGGCTTTAGGAATTATGGACAGCTGGTTTAATATTTCTGATGTCGGGTAGAGATACGTTCAAAACAATCCAGGGCATTTGTAATTGTGAGTTTAAATATCAGGCAGTTGTATTGGAGTGGATTTAGTGAAAACAGACGAAATTGATGAAACACCTTTCTAAGGTATCGTATAATAGTATACTACGACATGACTCATTCCCTCCGGCTTGCATCAATTAGGAGGTAATCAGGCAATGACTTAATTTCTGGTGGATGATGATTTTGACATTATCGCATTTTCCCAATTTCTTCCATCTACAGCTGACCATCAGAGAGAAGTTTCCCATAATGTCCAAAAAGCGAAGTTCATATACTTTCGTATCATTTATTCGGGCGTAACTTAATGAAGCCTTTCCATCTTGTATGAGATTAGAATATTCAGTTTTTGAAAAAGTTCATAATCGCAGTAACATAAATTTTGAGCAGTAATGTAAGTCTCTTGGCTTTTAGCACCTTGGGAGATCGAGGCGTGTCATTCAAAGCTGACGTTACTTTGATTAGTCACGGACTGCAATGGCACTGACTTCTGCTGCTGGACTTGTTTCTCTTTTGGACGACAAGGGTTCTGATGTCAAAGTAAAATCAACCTATTTGTTTCACTTATTCTCATTTCAGGCATTTGCTCTAAAACGTCTCTATGATATGGTTGACGAGTTTTGGGCTGAAATCTCAGAAGCAGTAATGAAAATTGAAATACTTCATGAAGACTCTAATTTTGAATATAACAAACTTGCTGCTTTACTTGTGTCCAAAGTTTATTATCATCTAGCTGTCTATGATGATGCACTTCACTATGCTTTATGCGCTGAAGAGCTTTTCGATCTAAACGCGAATACCGAATTTGTGGAAACCATTATTGGTAACTAACAAGTACTAATTACAACTGTATAGCTAAATGTATTGATAAGTATACCGCTCTTCGAACTGCTCAAGATCAGCTTGTGGATTCGTCCGGTTCCGTTGTAACAGAATATTCAGACGACAGTACTTGGTCTGTTACTAGTCCAACATACAAAAGACTAGAACACGTTGTCAACCAAATGTTTGACCGTTGCTTTGATCACAAACAGTATAAACAAGCCCTGGGGATAGCTATTGAAACTCGGAGGTGTGTTTTTGGTGTAATCCCATCAGTGTTTTTTACATAATGATAACCATCCACCAAACGCGTTCGTCTACAAAGTGATGCCTCATAAATTTGTGTCTAGTAAGGTCGCGAAGAAAGTCTCGAAGGCTAAGCTGGCGAAGGTCGATAAGAGGAAGAAGAGAAGGAGGAAAGAGTTATGCTATCTACATCTATAAAGTTTGCCAAGTTCATCCTGACACTGGTATCTCGTCGAAGGCAATGCCAATCATGAACTCGTTTGTGAGCGATATCTTTGGGCGCATTGCCGCGGAAGCCAGCCAACTATCTCACTTCAACCTGCGGACTAAACTGTGTGTATCACCGTATTCAATTAAATTTCCATACTTTCAAGTCATTGTCGGAGTCCTTTAGGCTATCTGTTTTCTAGGTCGATTTCCTATATCAACTGAGATCTTTCTGATATTTTGTCTATTCGATTATGAACGTATATAATCCTATGGAATCCATGCTTTTACGTGATTACTGTTCAATAAGTTAAGGTAAACAGACTCCGATGACGTACAGTGGTTAGTAAAGGAGATTATGGCACTAAATGGTTACGTTTTACTGCTCACACAGGTTTACACATAAACAGATTTTAGCGAGACTATAATTTATGGACGAACCAATCCCGTTTAAGACAACAGGTCTTGGACTTTTCGCGAAACTAATTCATTCACTTGGCTAAACAGAGTTTTGACATTATAGCTGATGTCAGTTCGTGATGTAAACCTCAAATCTACTTCATAACCCTAACTATCAACCGTAAATATTAGTCCTAATTACACCCGTTTATGACCTTCATTTAGCCGTAGTATGTAGATAGAGATTCTCAAGGTCTTTCTAGCGTAGCCCGGAGGTCGTCCATTATTTATAGTCTCACCCACACTTTAAATAGATAGGAAAGTTGTTCATTTGGGATGAAGAGTAGTAATTACTCATTAGTGGTGGATGTGCTATGAGGTTTGGACTATATCTCCTCCATTCGCGCTTCAAATATAACGGAAAGATAGCTCTTCTTTAGTCTTCATTTCTAATCTGTAATATGTGGTCACCATTAATTGGCTTTCGGTATACTAACACAACGTGGTAATTTAGGTACTCAGAGAGTATATTAATTTTTTCCGACATCCAGCTACTTTTATTCCACCCGAAATCGCCCATGTAACATGGTGTTGAAGTACTGATTGAACTCATCGAGTTGAGTATTTGCTCTTTGTCACTCGCATATTTTCAACTGTTTGCCACTTTTGTACTGGGATGAAATATTTTAAGTGAATAAAATATCATTTTTCCAGGTTGGACATATTTGAGAAGGCGATAATTTCGTCGGATGATCAAGAGGGCATGCTTCGCTATGCTTTTCGTGTTGTGCTCACTTTAATCGACAGTGTACGCCTGAGAAACCGTCTTCTTAAAATCTTAGTTTCTGTTTATATGAACCGAGCTCTTCCCTCCGATGCTGTAAATGTTTGTCAATGCTTAGTACTAATGGATGACCCACAGGTTCGTCAATTTTAAAATATTTCTTTCATTTGTTACGTTAGAATGTTCCATGAAATATTGTTTAAGATTATCAGCTAATTTATCTAGAGTAAGTTTCTATACGTAGCTAACGGTATTACCTGAGTATCTAAACCAAAGTAGGTCAGGAGGGTCTGAATTTAAAACATGTTAGTTGGAAGTCTTGTACTTTGACCATCAAGGTACTTCAACTAAGCCATTCACACATATATCACTGAAAAAGAAGAGAATAACACTAAGAATAACGATTATGAACCTATGCATTACCGATGATGAATCAAGCGATAGTGTACCGTTTAATACTATTTCACGCCAACGTAGATTACTCTAGATTTTAGACATACCAATTAACCTGATCTTTCTTAGTCATAATTTACACATATATTTGACCTCGTCGGTTATTCATCTGTTATCTTCATTGCTCTTATCTGATCGTATATGCGTGAATGTTTATCTTTTTCTGTCATGTCTTAAGCTTGTTTTTCTGTCTGACTTAAAATATTTATTCACATTTTATTAAATTGAGTTTGCACGTTTGACTTTTCCAATCCGGCTTTTCTCATTATCTGGGTCAGTAAATGTAAGAAATATACGTATCCAAAAACCATTCTCGTATTTGACCTGTCCTGTTATTCATTAATGTAAACCAAGTCGATGAGTATGTAAAGGTTCAAGCGGGATATATATTTCGTTAACATCATCTTCCGATCATATGGAGTCAGTTTGCGCGTCATTAATTGTCATTTTTTATCTAGGGCTTAATTGCGGCTCGAATGGAACATATCAATAGTCGATGAAAAATATACATTCACACACATTTGAAAGATGTGATAACTCATCATCCTAAATCGAACCAAAAGACCTAAAATCTTTTTAAGAGGTTCATAAATACGTTAAATATGAACTTGATGGGAGGTGATAGCTGGTGTTTTTTAAATTTATTTAAGCACATAAACATTGGTACGGGACACCGAATACATATGCGACACACAAGTCACTTGATTTGTGTGTGCTGTGGTACTGCCCGGGTACCCAAACCGAAGCAGGTGGTTTTCTTAGATGGCCACACCCGGAGTCTTCGACCTAAAGGTCTGATCCACAAGGCAATGGGGCAACGTCAGGAGAGACAGTCCCGTGATAGCCGGTGACCAACAATTGGTTCATACTCCATTTGTTCCTTCAGGATACTGGATCGTTGTGCACCATTGGTTTGGAATCAGGGTTTTCCAACTTCCCCAGGTGGACTCTCTGTGTCCAGTGATCCGGTTAAAGCGCCGGATATTCGCTTTTTGTCCACTCAATTTGGTAAAGGACACCGCTGCGGGAAGGCAGTGAGTAGGACGTCCGTGGTAGTGGCTGTATACGCGTGGCCGTGTGAGAGCATTTCGAGCGGGAGAGCTGACTCTCCCTACTCTCGGCCTTACCAGGACATTTGGATGCTGGGAGGAATTTTCGAGCAACCAAGCCAAAACTTTATGTCAGTCCATGAAATCATCAACTGTCGAACTGAGCCATGCATTTAGATTCAGATTATCTGGTTGTGGTTCTCGTAACTATTGTAACTGGTGTTTATGGACTTCAGGTGACATGGATCAATATTGCTCGCAATGGTGCAGTTGTGTTCACTCTTTGTGTACACTTAGATCTTGAATTTATCAATCATCTTGAAAGTTATTTTGTTCTACGAATTCATACTGTTTCGAACCATAATTTTTATCCCTGACCTTTTCTACCACAAATCCTGTTACTACTTATACCACTCTGAAATCCCGTTGTCCTGATTTATTGTGACAACTTAAAATAAATCTACCAGGTTCTGTGTTGCATGTGACTTGTTGACCATTTTATTCTGTTTGTTCAGGAAAATTTTAGTTAAAAGATTAACTTTAAGAACCAAATACCATTTGATTCTGATTATATAAATTTAGTCAGTTTTCATGTCATTCATTATTTTAACAATTTGAGAACATTCTTGTTGAAATTCGTAAGGAAAATAATTGTCCTACTTTTGTCATTGGTCAGTAAATATACTGATCATTGAGTGGAATTCCACCTTCACATCATAATTTGTATGTTATCATGTAATGTGGTATTTTCATATGTGATCAAAAGCGCTGATGTATCATAATTTCATTAAAATGTGGTAATTTACTGTGGTTAGTAAAGACATACTTTCACTAGCCTTCCTGGTTCCCCAAATTTTTCATTTCATTATTTACAGATAAATACACTAAGTGGTATATATTTACTCTCATTTCAGGCCACAGCAGATACTCTGGAACACTTGTTACTACAATCACAAGAGGCAGCCGTAACAGCATATCAAATAGGTTTTGATTTGTATGAAAATGCAACCCAGAACTTTCTTCAACGTGTTTCAGCCTCTCTTGCCCAGAGCTCAAAGTTGAGTCATGTAATGAGCTTAATTGAACGTGATAAAAACGCTGCAAAAAGTTCAAAAACGCCGGAGGGTTCAGCTTGTACCACCGTTGAAACTACAGACGGCGATAAAAATAAATCAGACAACAAGGAAGCAGAAGAAGCAGTGGAAACTGCATTAGCTAGTGAAACAAACAAAGAGGCTGAAATACCTGCAGATGAACCGCTGTCAGAATTAGATAAAGAAATTAAAAATCGTCTTATTCACTTGGTCAGTATTTTATCAGGAGATAAAGTAAGCATCGGAATCGTACATAATTGGTTTTATTATATTATTAGATAGCTAATTTATTGTTAGACAGTATTTAGTTTGATAAAATGGTAATGTGTATTGTACTGACTAAATAGGGGTTGTCAGTCGACGCGAAGAGTATATCCTTTTTCTTATGCTTATCATCGCAAAATGTTTTTTGAACTGCCATTATTTTTGTGTAAATATTTCTTATTGATGGGAGTGATTTCAAGCACTCACTAACCGTTAATCGAAGCGTGAATAGTATTTCAGTAAATATCGTAAATATCGTCGACTGATCCATCAAATGAGGCGGAAGTCCGCAAGGAACTCCAACTCTTGAAGCGCTACAAATCACCTGGCCCAGATGACTTACCTCCGGCTCTTTCTAAAGATGGTGATGACTTTCTGATTAGGAAACCTACTGTGTTGTTTGCAAAGTTCTGGGAACTAGAGTGTACCAACGTCATGGAATAAGTCGATAGTTGTCCCTATCTTTAAAAACGGTTCACGTTCCCATAACAACTATCGGAGGATAAGTCTACTTCCAATTGCGTCCAAACTATTGGCTTCCGTCATACTTCGTAGGTTCTTCAAAACCCGAGAAAGATTGGCTCGCGAGGAGCAGGCTGGTTTTCGTTCTGGTCGACGATTTATTGATCATATCTTCACCCTCCGCCAAATGTTAGAACACCGCCATACTTATCAAAGACCAACCGTGGTGTTTCTTGACATCAGGGTTGTCTTCGATTCGTTGGACAGGACTGTTCTCTGAGATTTTCTATTGAAGGGTGTGTCGGAGAAGTTCATTAACATCTTAAAGGCCCTATATACAAACACTTCAAGTTGAGTGAGGGGATACAATCAACTTTCTCCATTGTTCTATTCGAGCAGTGGGGTAAGACAGGGTTGCCCAATCTCACCATTCCTCTTCAACTTTGCCATCGATGACATTCTGGAAACAGCTCTGATGGATGTAAGTAATGGTGGTGTGGATCTGTTGCCTGGAGAAAGACTTCTCGACCTTGAGTATGCGGACGATATTGTCTTACTGTGCGATAATGCCCAAGCCATGCAATCCGCACTTAATCAGTTGGCAATCAGTGTCCGTAGGTATGGTATGTGCTTTGCACCTTCGAAGTGCAAAGTACTTCTACAAGACTGGTAGGATCCCAATCCTGTACTCACCCTGGATAGTGAGCAGATAGACGTAGTCGAGATGTTCGTGTATCTGGGTAGCTGCATAAGTGCTGGTGAGGGTGTGAGTGATGAGATCAATGCACGAATAGTGAAAGCCAGAGCGGCTCATGCCAATCTGGGCCACCTTTGGCGCCTTCGTGATGTTAGTCTGGCTGTAAATGGTCGGATCTACAACGCGTCGGTGAGAGCAGTTTTGCTCTATGCTTGTGAAACCTGGCCTCTCCGAGTTGAGGACGTTAGACGACTCTCTGTGTTCGATCATCGCTGTCTCCGAAGGATTGCTGACATTCAGTGGCAACACCATGTCAGTAATGCAGAGGTTCGGCATCGTGTGTTCGGGCACAGAGATGATAATTCAATTGGTGTCGCCATCTTGAAACACCGACTTCGGTGGCTTGGACATGTTCTCCGAATGTCGTCCCAGAGAATTCCACGTCGTGCATTATTTGCCGACTCTGGGACTGGTTGGAAGAAGCGGAGAGGTGGTCAGTGCATGACATGGTGTCGTGGTATGAAAGAAAGCTGCAAAGGACTGGCTTCTGTTGGTCCTTCACGACTCCCTGGTTGGGGTCTGAGAGATGGTGCTACACAGTGGCTAGAGACGTTATCAGACATGGTTTAGAATAGAAGCCAGTGTCGATCCTGCTGTAACTTCGTTTACTTTTTTCGTAGAAAATAGACGTAACTTTTTTATCTGTAAGAATTCTTCCAGATTGTACCTTTCCGTTTCCCCCATTATTATTATTATTATTATTATTATTATTATTATTATTATTATTATTGTTATTATTATTATTGTTATTGTTATTGTTATTGTTATTACTATTATTATTATTATTATTATTATTATTACACTACCACACACTAATTTGTGGTCGTTTTTGTTTTTTCCTTATATTCGCCTTACCTTCTTTTTCTCTTCCTATTCTCATTGTTTTGTGTGGCGTATACATGTTTGGTGCCTTCTTGTACCAATATTTATGTGTTCAAATAAATATAATAAACTCATTAACCACACTATGGTGAACGGATATACTAAGCTTTAAACTCCACTCGACCTTTTTGTGACTCTCTTAATAACATCCAGATTCTTCAATTTTCAACTGATTTATGCAAGTATTTATATGCGTTGACGGATAAAATCAAGGATGTATTATCGTAAGGCTCTTCAGCACAAACGTACCAACAGATGTATTTCGAAAGTAGGAACGAATTTTTATAATAATTCTAGTTAGCGAATATATTTTATAAACTAAACCACTTTAGATGCATAATTTGTGTACATTTTCATTATATTAAGTTCTTTGACATTCCCTCCTATTGATTATGTGTTGCACGAAACTGAACGAAAGCAGATTTCATGCACCCGTGATTTTATCATGACTGGTTTGTCGTAAAACATCTTCAAACGTTGGCCATTAGGTGTGTTTCGAATGGTCGAACTCGACAAAAAGCCGTCACTTTCAGTATTCGTTACTACACAATAAACCAGTTTTACTTTGACCAGGTGGTGATTTTCTTCACTTAGTAGACAGTACTTAAGAGCAGTATTTTATATTTATCTTAACTCAGATCAACGTCACTGATCTAAAGCAATATTAAAACAGCCACCAAGTAATTTTCAAATCAATTGGTTTGATCGCATGTCATGTTCTTTTGTGTAACGGAGTGGCATTTCTAGATATCATATGACAGGTTTGTATGACAAGAACGATCCATGTACTGAGTTACCTATATAATCGAGCGCACCGATATTGAAAAAATGATCATACTATGGTAAAGTACGAGTGTATAATTTAACTTTACCATTCCAACGTACACTGTGGATGCACGCTTTTTCATTACTATAGTCATTCGTAGATATTGTCTTAACTACTTAAAAATGTGATTTTCTTATATTTAGGTAATTGAATTGCACCTCCAATTTTTGATACGAAATAACAAAGCTGACCTTCGACTACTTGAACGCATACGTGATGAGGTACGACATTCGGTGACGCATAATGCTACAGTTATTGCAAATGGTATTATGCATTGTGGAACAACATCAGATCAGTTTTTAAGGGATCATTTAAATTGGTTAGGAAAAGCTGTAAATTGGGCTAAATTTACTGCTACTGCTACTCTTGGGGTTATACACAAAGGTAAATATTTTATTATTTTCCATTTATGGGAGTGTACCTACCGGGATAATAATAAACATTGATTTCAGTACTGATAAGATTGACCGATATTTTGTACGAGTTTTCACTGATAGTTATAACTTCTGATTGATGTCTTGCTGTTGTTTATCCTTTCAGGTCATGAAAAAGAGGCTTTACGTCTTATGTCTGCCTACTTGCCCAAAGATGCAAGCGGTTCATCCGGTTCCGTGTACACTGAAGGTGGTGGTTTGTTTGCTCTAGGTTTGATTCATGCTAATCATGGTGGAACGATGACAGGTAAGTTCTTGAAAGTAATCACAAATATTTGAAAGACATTTTAATTACTTTCTGTGTAAAAATTTCTTCATCTGTAAAATTTTACCATGTATCAAACTTATGTACCTTGTAAACATTTACTGGCTCATAAGATAAGCTATTTGTATCTATGTAACTAGTTTTCTACTTTTTCATAAATGCTTTTTCATTTGTATCTATGTAACTAGTTTTCTACTTTTTCATAAGTGCTTTTTCATATGGCCTTGGTTGGGATACTTGGATTATTAGCTTATACATATCGGTGGGTATTTTCGCGAATAAATTATTCTGGTACTAATGAGTTTCAATTATTTTGTGCTGTATTAGATTGTCTCACATATTTTACTCGCATAATGCTTGTCATTTAATTTTTATTTAGCTTGTATTCCCGATCTGTTGACATAGGTCTTTCACGACACTTTATATCCATGATAATCTGCGATATTTAATGGTGGAGATACACTCATTATTTTGCATAAAGTTTTAAACACGAGATTATTTCATACTTCTGATTCATAGGTTCTACCAGGGTTTTTTATATCAACAGTTTTTACCTCTTAATTTTGGTTCTTTACTACCATTTTCGTCATTAATTTTGTTACCCTTGATGTTAATTTTTTCTCTCTGTACTGTGAACCTTGTTCATTTTTGTACTGATGCGAACTCATCCTATTTTTCACGACGTTGTTTATCTCTCTATCTTTTAATTATACTCTTCCATAACGACTGTTAAATATTATTTATTTCTTCAGAATATTTGCTCAATCAATGCAAGGAGGCTACTGCAGAACCTGTCAGGCATGGTGCATGTTTAGGCCTTGGTTTAGCTGCTATGGGGACCGGTAGAGAGGACGTTTATGATCAAATTAAACTTAATCTTTATCAAGATGATGCAATTACAGGTAGGCTTGTTTGCAATATTTTCTTTGTTATTCTTTCCATTCTATTGTATTCGACGTGAATTATACATTATTCACAGTTCTTAGCACCAAATAACATTAATGCAGTTAGTTCTTCACAATGATTTATCGTACATCCTGAGTTATATCATGATTATAGGAATGCTAACCATAGAAGCCTATTTCTTAATTTCATTAACAAGTAAACTTACATCACAATTTTGTTTCTTTTATTACATAAAACTGAACTATTTTATTTTCCTATATTTTTAACAATAATTGAATGTATTTAGTCTATGGTTTTGCAAAAAGCTTCTACTCATAGCGTGATTCAGTAGATTAACCGATTTATTTAGTATCTTTATTTATTATTATTTTAATTTATCATACTGTGTTTGTCTCAAGGTGAAGCAGCGGGTATTGGTATTGGTTTGGTCATGTTAGGAACTGGGTCAACACGAGCTATTGAAGATCTACTTGGTTATGCTAAAGAAACAGCACATGAGAAGATTATACGTGGCGTTGCTTTAGGCATTGCACTTGTCATGTACGGTCGAGTTGAAGAAGCTGACGAACTTATTGATAATCTAATTATTGTAAGTTTTTTATTCACTGTGTTGTGTAAATGATAGTTTTGAATTTTTGATGGGTAAATTTTAATTAAAATGGTAAATAAAACCGTTGGTCGATAGCTGTTGCACAGTGATACAATTCAGTCAACTTACAACTGCTCACAAGGTCATGTTATTGACACGAGCTTCAGAATGAAATGATATCAAAGGACAATACAACTGGGTAGCAGGATAATTTTTTGTTGCTTGTAACAGACATGTTTGTTCACAAACTATTAAACACGAAAGTAGGCATGATTACATGTTGTTTTATATAAGGGATTGTAAGACAGATTTAGTAGGTCACATATACGCCAATGAAATTAAGTCTTGAGTATCAGGCTTAATTTTCGAATATATTGTCAAGAGACTTTATGATGGTGATTTTAATTATTTCTACACTAATCCCTAACAAAATTTCCACAACAATCCTAGACAAACCAGTGTTCGTGGAAAATCTTAGAGCCTTCTATGGAAAATTTGCCTGTGTCCTATTCTAACGTCACTAATATGTCACATACTGTGCAACTGGGTCTTAAGACCTAGTAAGATTATATATTCATACAAACCAGAGTTTTTATTCATTTCCTCAGTAGTTGTGAGATTTGCATTTTAGCAGTAAAAAAACGTCAAGACATCGAACGAACTAAAAACAAATCTAGTTGACGTAAATATGTAATGCAGGCTGAGGACCGTTATTTTAACGAAACTATCCACTAGTATGATGAGTAATTTTTGTCTTCCTTTAGGATCTCAGTGTAGTCAACAGATCGTGGTTAAAAGAGCTTTACCATCATGTTACTAGGTTGCCATTTAATCCTTAATACTTAAATCTACTCATCTCACGATGAGACTACTATTCTTATATATATGCTATATGTTCTTCCCATCGACGTTAACTATCCTGAAAATCATAATTTATCGATAGGAATCCTGTGTGTTTCATCTAACACCAACAGTTATTCAGCAAACGGTTGGTTTGGATACTTATCGTTTCAATGAGTGGGCAGAGCCCCTAATCGTCTTTATTACTAAATGAAGAAATTTTTAATTTGGATAAGTATGTGTCAGAATTTTATTCCATATTTGTCTATTGTTTTCGTCATGTAGACAGATTTTCAAAATGTCATTTATTTAATCAACCTCTATCATTGGTTATTTCAAACGCTTCTTTGTATGAAGACTTATTTCTGTTTGTTTTCCTTCAAAATACAGGATAATGATCCCATTTTACGTTGGTCTGGTATGGCAACAATTGCAATGGCTTACTGTGGGACTGGTAATAATCAGGCAGTGAAACGTTTACTCCACGCTGCAGTCAGTGACACCAATGATGACGTCCGACGATGGGCTGTTACAGCTCTTGGTTTCGTTCTATTCAAGTATGTTGTGTATAACCGTTTTCTCAGAATACTTATCGGTTACTTGTCATTAGTCTTCTTTCCCAGCAAGCCATTGTACTAAGCATTCCTACCTTAAAAATGAAGTTAATTTTACAGTAACCCTCATTTTTTGTTACCTTTTAGAAATCCTGAGCAGGTCCCATCACTAGTGTCCTTACTCGTTGAATCCTACCATCCTCATTTGCGATATGGTGCTGCTATGGCTGTAGGAATAGCCTGCGCGGGAACAGCCCTTAAAGAAGCTGTTAGTTTATTAGAAACTTTACATGAAGGAACAGTGCCATTTGTTCGCCAAGGTGCCTTAATTGCTAATGCAATGGTATTAATTCAGCAGAATGCGGTTACCTCCCCAAAGGTATGAGTCATAGAGATGGTCATTTCATTGTGCTCTTATTTCCAAACTAATATATTGTCAATTTTGTTACTTTTCATATTGCCTTATCATTCACGGATATTTGTTTGCAGCTGGTGTAATAAAACGTTATTCTTAGTGAAATTCCCATTTAGCTTCAAGGTTAGTGCGCTTCATCAGAGCATATCCATGGAGGTCTATGGGCTTTTACACCTGCGACTCTAGAAAATTTCATACTTACATCCAAGATGCATTTGCTTGTTGGAGGATTGTTTTAGTGTAAGCTTTTGTTTGAAAATGTTATCAACTTACAGAACCACAATATAGACTAAATTCTCAATAGCGATTTACCAGACTTAAGATCACAGTTAAATAATGTCTCTACTGATTTAGCATTGATTATGGCTTATATGACAACCATTATTTAATTAATGGAGTATAATAATGCATCTGTCAGCTGTCCTCTATGCACGACTTTGCAGCGTAGTCTGTCGCCCAGATCTTTTTTGGTATCTAGATGAGGTATCATTCTTCCTAGTCTGTCGGTACTTGTTCTTCCCCCAAATCTTCCTGAATAGAGTGTGAAGCATGTTTGCGATTGCCTCTATATCTGACTTCGGTGGTATATTGTCAGGTCCTGTTGTTTTCCCACTCTTGATTTGTCTGACGGCCATGGTGATTTCGATCATTGGTAGAGTGACATCTATAGGAAGGTCTGTGTGTGCTGCTTCGATGTCCGGTGGACTCAATGGAGCTTATCTATTCAAGAGTTCCTCGAATTGTTCTACCCATCTGTTCCCTCTTTGTTCTTTACCGGTCTCTCTGGTTTACTATATTTCCCTGCTAGTTTCTTCGTTGTGTCATATGGTTGTTTCATATTTCCTTCTCTTGTAGCTCTTCCTGCTGTCGCTGTTAGGTCTTCCACGTATTTCTGCTCGTCATCTCTAATGATCCTCTTCACTTGCTTGTTTGCTTCTTCGCTGGATTCAAAGTCCAGAGTGCTAGCCGCTACACCACGAGGCCACGGTTTTCTAATTATTCAACAGTTAATACGTTTTTTTTGTGATTCCAACCATTTTAATTATATGTTGTATCATTGAGTGGCGTTAACTTAAATAAATAACCTTTCGAAGTTCTCTTAACTATTCGAAATGCGTAACAGATCATTTCAGACTGACACTTTAAGTAGTGAGAAAGTGAGTAAACAGTTAGCTCAACGCATGAGTAATAAATAAGGTTTGGTATTGAAATTAAATGTTCTTTTCTTTTAGTCTGTGGATTTCCGTCAGAAATTGTTGAAAATTATTGGAGATCGTCATGAAGATTTATTAGCCAAATTCGGTGCTATCATAGCATGTGGTATTTTAGATGCAGGTGGATGTAATATGACTATTTCATTGCAAACACGTACGGGTACGTCCAATTTATTTCAAATCATTATATTCGATTATCTCCATTTGGTATCACAATTATTATTTTAGGTTCTTTTCGGTTAATTGTAGTTGATAAAAGACTACTTCTTTATCACAAGTCTATAACCATCAGATGGATTGACTAATTAACTGATAGTCATCATAAATCCTCATTAAGCAGATATCACATTCTAGGACTCTAAATCAGTGATAGCACTTCTTGCTAATCGACTGTTTTGTAGTAAATGTTGTCATAGTAAAATGTATTGTCCTTTATCACACTCTGAATTAAAAAACCGTTATGTACCGGTATCAAGCACACCAGTTCTCAAAAATACATACCTGGTTTAAAGTATGAGATCACCAGTGTAATACCAAGATTAATCGCGATTGAATACTTTAATCGAAGTAGAATAAAAAAACTTTAGGGCTATTCGATTTCTTATGACTCTTCAGCTGATATGGATTTGGAAGTAAATTTATAACTGAAATATCCAGTTAGCTAGCAACAATATAAGATCTAACATAAAGTGCATCGTCCCAACCTGCCAAACTTCATATTAATACAATGAAGGAAAATTAACAATGTAAAAAGATGCAAAGTTAAAATTTATGATGGTTAAAACTGTAGAAATAAAATGAGATAAGTTAAGTTGGTGAAAAAAGTATCATACGCTATTTTAACTCAGGAAATAATGGAAGATAAAGCGTAACTCCTTCCTCAATGTAATCATTGAAAGTTCCCTGGAAACTAATGAAACAATACCACTTATTTCAACATGAATTATCGAATTGGTAAAAATACTGCATATTGTAATTTAGTGTTGTATAATAGGTTTGATTGTGTTGTGTAGTAGTTTTTTATCACAACATTGATTTTTATTGATAATAATAATATATTTGTAATATCCCAATAAGCGGAAAAATTAAATTTTTTGACGTTTCGCGACTCTGTGTAAGCCACTTGTTCAGAAAACAAATAAACTGATTGAATTAGTCCAAGTTTAAATAGTACAGAGGAACAAAGCAAAAATATTTCGTACAATCAATCAATAAACAGATCTGACCAAGTCAATGTCATGTCATTACGGTAATTTATGTGAGACATGTTTGTTTATTAAGTGTGTGGGTGAAAAATGTGACATTTTTAATGCGAGTTGAATTTCTATGTAAGATAATAGTGTGAGATGTGACTAGAATCAGATGTAGTAACTCGAGTAGATAGTCCAAGTGGGATGAATAATAAGGCCTTTTCTATTAAGGGTAGTAGGATTTAGCAATATATAGAAAGCTTCAGCTATTCACCTTTCTTTGTAGTTGGAAAAACCTTTTTGTATTATTTGGATAATTTTAATATTGACTTGATGGTTGTTGAGAATGCGATGCACTGTTATTGCCAATGTAATTTAGAGTTTTTCAAGTTCTACAGGATTATTAAGTAGTTTGTTTTATATACATCTATGATGTTCTGTGCTTCATATCAAGATTTCACGAGATGACTCCAATAGAAGAGGCATTACAATTGATACATACTAGTTTGTTTATTTATTCTCTAAAGAAGTGGCTTACATTGAGCTGCTAAATGTCAGAAAATTTGATCTTTCTACTTACTGAGATATTAAAAATTATCATTTTTATTAATAAAAATCTACCCAATGCTCAATTTATTTGAAATTATCGAGTCAAATCTACAACATTGATTTTGTTATTAACTCCTCACATTTTTTCTCTCTGTTCATTTGCTATATTGTATGACGTAGGCAATGCAAATATGGCAGCGGCTGTCGGTCTTTTAATCTTTCAGAATTTCTGGTTTTGGCATCCATTAACCAATTTTATCAGCTTAGCATTTACACCAACTGCATTAATAGCATTGAATAAAGATTTGAATATGCCAAAGATACAGTTTCGTTCAAATGCTAAACCGTCGACTTTTGCTTATCCTCAACCATTGCGTTAGTTAAATTCTGATTATTTATTTATTTCCTGTGTTATATTTACTATTATCTGTTATTACAGAAAAATGACGATTCAACGAAGAAAACTTTTTCTTTTCGGCAATTTCATTTAATTAGACTGTATATATAGTTATATCCCGATGAGAATAATAAATGGTAACTTTCGGGATATACAATAATCCAATGGCTAATGAAAAATATTAGTGTGAAGATAATTGTGCAGTTAAATAAAATAATTGAAAGTTATAATAACGGCTAATGAGTAGTTGTGAAAAATATTTAAAAATGAGTAAAGAAGACGATAAGTTATGGAAGGGAGAAAGAAAGGTTAAGACCATGGTAGAAAAAGGTATTGAATACGTTGTTTTTGTACATAAAAAGTTAGGGTTGGATTTATGGATAACTATAACCTCTGCTGTACATACCTCTTTCATTTTTATTCCTGTCGGACCGATTTTTCTGACTTTATGAATAATTTTGAAGGAGGATTCTGTTTAAGTAGACTGACTAGAATTAATTAGTTGTTCTAGAATTGAGCGTATGACTGACTTTTGTAATCCTTTATATAGCCAGTCAGAGTAATTTTAGTTGATATTTATAAGTTGTGATATTCTACTAGGTACAAGGTAATCATTCTAAACACATACATTTCTAGTATGTTGGTTTTGTAAAGTTAAACATATACACCATTGGACTTCTACTCGGTGGTTTGAGAGCTAAGCGTTCACATGCGAGACTGAAGGTCCTGGGCTTAATCCACGATGTGGTCGTGGGTGCACTTTCCTAAAGAGTCCCATGCTAGGACGAAACGGCTGTTTAGTGCTTTTCAGTTTTAAGTGGTGATCTAACGTATATTTCTGTCAATAATGGAACAACAAAAGATGTGTGAAAATCATATTTAAATTATCTCAGCAAATGTTCATATACGTTATGGAACTATAAAGTTCTGTATCCAACTAATGTCCCTTAGTTAATCCATCCACTTTTCAATCACTGTGTTCGAAATCCTCCTGGACTTGTATTTATAAACTTCATATAACAGACATACATAGCTCAGATCCTAATATATAAATATACATCTGAGTACTAGGTTATAATGCAGATAATCAGTAATAGAGTCATATACTTGTTAATGCACATCTATGCATATAATCATATTGCCTTTTTAAAAAGAAAATAAACAAACAGTGTTACGGACCGATTGTAACTTGGATTATTCTTATTAACATTTGGTTTATCTGCAAATTTCGAAGTTAAGCATAATTCAGGTTAACTTAAGCTTAATTCATTTTATACAATTATCGAATAAAATTGTTACTTGGTATAGAATAGATGGGATGTGGCTAGCGTTGGAATGCAAGACGCGGAGACTGACAAGTGGTTATAGATGCCTGGAAGCTGAAATTCAAATTCATTTATAGTATGAATTCAATCATTCAATGGTGACGAATATGTAAAGGCCCATAGCCAATTCAATTTTTTCAACATATGGTTTTCACTTCCGGATCCCCAAAACTATGTCATCAAAATCAGAAAATGATCCAAGTTTGACAACCATTAAAAACCTGGAACCTCTGTATAACAGTGTAGTTCTAGCATAGGACTCATCAGTAGTGCACACCCGCTACTCTGAAACTGGAAGTCGAACCCACGGTCTTACGCACGAACGCCTAACCTGTAGACCAATGAACTGGAATATAATAATGTACAAGTCTGAGTTCGATCATTCGGTTCGTGTTCTCATTGAAATTCAATACTCTCCATAATTCTTTACTGAAAGTGACACACTTATTATTGTAGACTTTCTATAAAACGATGATAAATCATGTCATATTGATTTGTTAACGTTTTTCGCAATTATTCTACTCTTTTAATTTTCAGAACAGGAAAAAGAAAAGAAACGTGAAAAAGTAGAGACAGCTATTTTAAGTATCACAGCTAAACAACGTAAAAAGGAGGCTGATAGAAAACAACACAAAGAACAACAACAGTTGACAACCACCGGTGGAGCACAAACTCGCAAAGATTCTCAAACTAAAGAAGTTAAGATGGATATGTAAGATTTTATTGCATTAATGATTTTGACAATATTCTCAGTTTATTATCATAGATAAATCAATCCTGGAAAAGTCTTTTCTTCCAACTGATAAAATTTGAATGGCTTAAATGGTGATATGTGGTAGTAGTATTCTTTCTGCACAAACTTAATTACTTATTGTTTACCCAATAATTTTTAGCGACAAATTACCACAACCAAAAACAAACCACATTCGTAGATATTTCAACGATTAAAATTAAGTAGTTCTGTCGTTTCATAGGGCAATTTAATTCTAATTTATTAAATAAAAGTAATCAAAGTTTATTATTTGAATATAGGTTTCGTTACGAACTGACATCAGATGAAAAACCAACTTTCATAATACAATTTATTGTATTCAACCTCATTGTAAATATATTTCCTTTTGCTTTGTGGGGGTACATTTAAATTAAGGAATGATACATTTCAGGCAACGGGCTAATTATCATTATTATTGAACTCAAAATCAATTGTTTACACAAATACTTATGTTAATGTTTCTAAAGTTTTAATCTATTAGTCGTCGGTTGATCAGTAATTTAAATATTCAAGTTAATTTAACTGTTCTGTTTAAAAACAGAGATACTCCACTAGAAACTGTCAAAGAAGAAAAACCTTCAGGATCATCAACTGAAACAAAAGAAGAGAAAGTGAGTAAAATCTTATTATTTATTAGTATCTGATTTTGAGCAAACGGTTTGCTTAGAGAAATGGGTTGTTATTGATATAATGTGTGGAACTTAGCATATATATCAGTTCAAGTTGCCATACCACATAGACACACCTATATGAAACTATTAAAATGAATGCAGTAGTAATAGAAGTGGTCACAGTGTAATTAGTTCTATCAAAGATTAGGCATAGATAATAGGATTCAAGAAGAAAGAATGGATTAACGGAATAAAAAGTATAAGTATTTCAAGACAGAATGAATGATTATGCACCTTTATGATCAATTCTGAGCTATGCCATGCGACATTTCCAACTAATAGTTACGATAATTGTTCAAATCCTAACAACGTAGTTGCCACGTTTGGAGAGATTACGATTTACCTAAATCAGCAAACAAAACAAAAGTCAGCAACACGACAACAGGACGAGCTAAACTACTCACTGCTCTCCGGCCCTGCTAAGACCAGATTCATCCGAGGGAAGGGTATGTTTCACAAACAGTCGGGAGCACGAACGAACAGACATACGACTCAATCGTATGTATACAGTATAAAAATGTTCTTGGGAAACGTCACAAAATAGTCTATTAAAATAGGAAATCAATGACACTTAAGGTCCTTCTAAGTGTAAAATACAACCTGAATGTAAAAATGGATGCTCTTGGCGCAGAAATGTGGAATTCAAGTTTTCAAAATAAAATTACAAAAATAAGAAGTTTATAAAGTGGTTTCTTGGGGTTTAGAATCCCTAACATTAGTATTCACCTACCTCTACGAGTTCAACAGCCAATAACTTTCTGAACTGATTCCAAGTTTTGATTTTTCTTTCCCTAGCTTTCTTCCAACGTACTCCTTAAATAAGCAAATATCACGCGTCCTGGTAGACGTTGGTCAGGGATGCGTAATACATCTTGCTCATTCGATGAAGATTCACTAAGTCATCAACCGATTTGCCATATTTGTCTAGTACTCTGCTTTTCATATCAACATAGCTCTCTCGGTGATCCACCAGTACAATACAAATGCTCAGTAGATACTTATGTTTAAGTACTAGTAACTTACGAATACCCTCTGCTTATAACGTCACGTTGTGCAGAGGGGACAGTTGGGCAGTATACTTGCTTCTTCATTATCAGATGAACAAATAACACTGAAGGTGATTGAAATTGGCAACAATCAAACAAACTTCCTGAATACGTTTAATTTATATGTTTATATTTCCAACTCTAATCAACTTATGAGCAATCGAAGCTTTGGAACAGGTCCTTCTCCACTATACGCGTAATAGTTTATTTGTTCGTACGATAATTACCTACTATTAATTAGTCCTTAAGGCGTTAGTTGTTTAAAGGATGTATTTGGTTTTATGGAATTGTAGATTGAACCCTTTATGTTTAATTATCCTGGTCTTCATAATTCTGTATATAATCGTTTAGGTTTACACTTATTCATTTGTTTATTATTATTACCATTTAGGAACCGAATTTTAGTCTACTAAATAACCCAGCTAGAGTAATGCGTTCACAACAAAGATACGTGACCCTTCCTGAATCATCTCGTTATGTAACTTTAAAACCAATCAGTCAGGTATGTACCCACTATCTGTAACAAATAATTTAATTTGAGATATCTTTGTTTTGCAATAACAGATTTTAAAGTGTTGCGTAACCCACAGATATTTTGTAATTAAATGTAATTTTTCTATAGCTAATTTTAAATTAGAACTTGTTTTTTCTTCAATAAACAAAGCATTAGTTATTAGTACTGTATTTTACAATTCCATCTTTCAAGGTTTGATTTATCAGGTAGCTCGTCAAGAAATGCCTTTCATTGGAAGTATGTAAAATCGTTTGTTGCAAATTTGTCAAATAAATCTAACTACTAATCCTCAGGTTATGTGGAAGAAACTACTTTTGAGAAATTCATTTATAAATCGATTTTATAAGAATAAAGTCATAGCAAATACGTGATACCTCTTCTACGTTATAATTGTATTTTCAAATTTGTTCTTAGTCGTCTGTATCTTGTGCACATCCAGTCAGTCAGTCAGCTACAACGTAGGACCAGGCACATATGTGCATCGGTCCAGGTTGCCATACCTCATTAGCACAACAAGATGAACACCGGATTCATAGGAGTGGTTAGGTCAAAGGTTGCAATAAGGATATAGTATAGGAAGGAAGAATTAGTTCGTAGAAAGAAAGATATGAAGTGATTTTAATCTCTTAGTTTAAGGGAAGACAGGGAGTGTATACACCGACGCCATTGTGATCGATTCTGAGCCATGTCACCAAGAGTCTCCAACCATTGGTTACGATAGTCACGCTGACGGCAACCAAGTAGTATGCATCTACCAACATGGCTCAGACTAGAAGTTAGTGACTTCAAGCACTGATGCCACGTTTTGGTTTGGCCGCCCCTAACTTTCTTCCAACCATCTCCAACACCGGTTAGCATTGCACGTCGTGGTAATCGGTGTTCAGGCATACGTAATACGTGGCCCACCTATCTCAGTCGATGAAGATTCATAACCTCATCAACTGATTTATCATCATTCCCTAATACCCTGCGTCTAACCTCACTATTACTTACCCGGTGATCCCAGCAGATGCCAGCAATATTTCTAAGGCATCTGTGGTCAAATACTTGTAGCTTACGGGTGTCTTCTACTCTTAATGGCCATGTTTCGCTGCCGTAAATTAAAACAGAACGGACTACCGCGCAGTATACTCGTCCTTTTATTGATAGACGGATATCTCGCCTCCGCCAAAGGTGACGTAAGTTGGCAAAAGCCAAACGAGCTTTTCGAATCCGTGCTGAGATTTCGTCAAACACCAACCCATTAGGGCTGATCAGACTTCCAACATAAGTGAAGTTGTCGACGCGTTCGACTACTTCACTCCCTATCCTTAGTTCAGGTGTTGACGCAGACCAGTCCTGAAGCAACAACTTGCATTTAGAGGGAGAGAAGCGCATCCCAAACATTCTGGCATTGTTGCTTAGTGCTACCAGAAGACTCTGCATTTTGTCAGCGTCTTCACCAAACAGGACTATATCATCTGCGTATTCTAAGTCTATAAGTGAACCTCCTGGAAGGAGATCAATACCCGAGAATTCAGTCGACGAGAGTGTTATTTCCATCAATAGGTCTATGATGAAGTTAAACAAAAATGGAGAAAGTGGACAGCCTTGACGGACACCACTTGAAGTTGCAAAAGTAGATGACAGTTCGCCATAAGCCCTGACTCGACTAGTAGTGTTCGAGTAAAGAGCCTTCACAAGGTTTATATACTTCTGAGGTACGCCTTTCAATGACAGACACTGCCACAGAGTCTCGCGGTCTACAGAGTCAAACGCTGCTTTTAAGTCAAGAAAGACCACCATCGTCGGACGCCGATAGGTATGCCTGTGTTCTAGAACCTGACGAATGGTGAATATGTGGTCGATGCAGCCACGACCAGGTCTGAAGCCAGCTTGGTTCTCTCGAGTTTGTAGTTCACGAGTCTTAGTTAGGCGTCTGATAATTATCGAGGCCAGTATTTTAGATACTATGTTTGTTAAACTAATCCCTCTGTGGTTGTCACAGGATGATTTTGACCCTTTCTTATATATTGGGACGATAAGTGATTGCGACCAGTCAGATGGGATAAAGTCTAATTCCCAGATCTTAGCTAAAATATTAGTCAACCTAATCGCTAAAATTGGACCACCATCCTTAAAGACCTCTGGAGCCAATCCATCTGGACCAGCTGCCCTTCCTCGTTTCAGATTAACTATAGCCTTTTGAACTTCAGCAAGAGTTGGGGGACCTACTTCAATGTTCCATTCACACTGTCTGGGAATGGAGGGTAGTTGTAGAGTAGCTGAAGGCCAGCTGAACTGTTCTCTGAAATGTTCCGCCCATCGTTCTAAACGTCTGGACTGGGAGCAGATGAGAGTATCATCTTTTTCCGAAATAATCTCACTTACACTTGACTTATTAATTCCAGTTTCTTTTATTAGTCTGTAAAGCTGTCTTGTGTTCCCTATAGTCGCCGCCTTTTCCATCTCTTTTGCTTTCGTTACCCACCACTGCTCACGGTCGTTCCTTAGACTTTTTCCTAACCTAGATCTGATTTGTTTTCGCTCTTCATTGTGTTCAGAGCCTGATTGGATGAGTTTACGAGAATTCATCAGTGTGACAGACCTTGAAGAAATCCACTGGTTCCTTGCAACTCTGTGGTTTAAGTCACTAATAGATGTCACTGCTGTTTCCACAGCTGATTGTATGCCCTTCCAAACAACATCTGGGTCAGCCTCGTCTTCACAACTACCTAAGTGTGACCTCAGTTGTTCCTGGAACCTACTTTTGGTTTTCTCGTTACTCAACTCAGTTCTAACGGGTCTTTTTAATGTGGCTTTTTTGCGTCCAGTGAGGCGCAAGCAGATGCGTGCCCGTATTAGGGCATGGTCGGAGTCCAAGCAGGTACTCCAGAATGAGCGACAATCTTCTACCGACTTTCTCCAACGATGACTGATGGCAATATGGTCTATTTGAGTCCATCGTTGGTTTGGTGTAGGGGGTCGCCATGTTAGACGATGTCTCTCCTTATGCTTAAAATTTGTGTTTGCTAAAAATAAACGATTGTCTGAGCATAGCTGCAGCAGACGATCACCATTATCTGTTCGCTGTGTCGGGATACTAAAATATCCACCTAAATGCCTTTCTGTTTGGTTTAAGCTACCTATCTGAGCATTAAAATCACCTGCTACGAGTACTATGTCTGAGCGTTTAGCTTTCTGAAGAAGTTCAGAAAGTTTTCTGTAAAATTCATCTTTCACTTCATCTGAGCTGCAGTCAGTGGGAGCGTAGACAGAAACGACAAAAAGGCAACGACGTGTGTCCCTATCCTTCCGAGTTCTTACGTAGCCGTTCAGCCGAACAGCACATAGACGACTGTTGACGGGGATCCACTCTAGCAGTGCTTGTTCGGCCCTCATGCTTAGTGCTATGCCTACACCTCCCAGTCCACGAGAACTGGCCATCGGGTCACCAGATACACGGAACGTGTATCTCGTTGGCTCTCCGTTCTGCCGAGGTGAGGTCAAGTGAATGACCACACTGGGATCCTGTATGCGTGTTTCAGAGACACAGCATACATCAATGGAAAGAGACTCTAGGGTCTTAGCCAAGGAAGCCTGTTGACCGATTTGACATAGGGTGCGTACGTTGAAAGCTCCAATGTGTAGTTTGGAGCGAGGTTTCAGTAGACCTGGGACAGAGTTTTTAGCACTAGAATCGTTGGCTATGGTGACACTTGAGGAGGAAGCCGAAGGAGGAAGTTTAGGGTTGAAAGTCGATGTAGGAGGAATAATAGGAATTGAAGAGGAAGGTTGATTATGAATACAGTGGTCTTGGGTGCTGTTAGAGGTATGAGGGCGGTTATCACTTCCCGGTTGCCCACACCGTGGAAGGGTTCTTCTGGAGGTACCTGAAAAGGAAATTGGATTAGAGGTGGTCTCAGTGACCTGAGAGCGTGACGGCAGTGCCCAAGGGACAACTGCTTGAGGCCGGTCGCGCACGGCCTTTTCGTGGAAGGTTTTCGACGTGTTAGCTCCGTTCTTCAAAGGGCCTTACCGCCGGAGACGGAAATCCGTGAGGTAAGGTGAGATGTGACATTTTTAGGGTCGACCTTTTCTAACCCCACCCCTCCTTGTGGGAAGGCAGCGTCGTTGTCATGCTGGTTGTCTGAAGGAAACACCTTACTGCTGTCACACCTCTGTACAGTCAGCAGTACGACTTCGCCTTCGGACCTTGGGTTTGTTGCTTTTAGTCTTACCGCTCTTCAACCGACCTGTCTGACATGGTAGGACCTTGAGTAACAGTTGTTCCAGCCAGTATAGCTCGGTTGCTTCATCACGATGGGCAAGCCCGACCACCACGTCAAGGTAGCAACAACGGTCGGGCTGTGCACATCCTTCTGTTGATGATTGTGTAACTGTTTGGCATGTTAAGAATATAGTCTACCTCTTTGTATTACTATATTATTTAGGGAAAAATAATTAAAGAAGAGAAGTATTTCTTTTCAGTTTGATTCTCATCCCTGCTTTAGACTAATATATATGGTTTAGCAATAAGAAACCTCATTAATTTGATCATCATAAAAGTTTGAAATGTCTTATTACACAATCTCTCATTTGCCGATGCCTTTTTTCTCTCCAGATTTTTATTCTGTTTTTGTTGATTAGCTGTAACCTTCTCCTTACGAATATGTGATATCACCGCTTGATTGGTATTGATCTTATTATTATTAGTAGTATAAAGCCGTGATGAAAAACAAATTGCAAAAGCGTATTTCTTCCCTCTATTCATCTTTTTATTGTTAAATATCACAATAAAAATAATTGTTGTTCATTTTATTCTTTCTAACTTTTTTTCTCTACTAATATCAAGGCTAATTGTTAGTTTAAGTGGTGTGTGGAGATCGTTGAATGTTTTTGTAATCATAAATCGAACTAGACTAAAAAAACCCCAATGAAATCTAGTAATCATTAGACAACTGTTTCGTCATAGTGTGATATTTCTCATCATTGTTATTAGTTAGAGTGAAACAGTAAATAGAAAAGCTTATTTAAATTCCAGTGGTTTATTCAGAAACTTGTTGATTTGAATGTTATTATTTGACCGATAATACTATCCATATCATTTTTGTTAGTTTTCCCAAAATATATTTTGTCATATATTTTCCACTTTAAACCATTTTCATGGATTGATAAACTTTTTAGTGACTGAATTATTGATCCATCCTTTTTCATCCGTTGAATGACTCTTCAAATGATTCGTATATTTTCAGTTCATAGTGCATAATATTTATGTTAGATTGGTTTATTTATTGTCGTGTGAGCTCATGATTTAATTATCACTCACAGTGGAGCGGAAAGCTATCTTTTTGGTTTAAAAACTCAACTATCAGCTACTAGATAACAGTCATGAACATTACTGTATATAATTTGGCTTCAACACTCAGGTAGTATCACTGGTCCTCAGATCGAGATTTGTGTAGCCCAAAAACATGTACACAAACATGTACTTGTAGCAGTTCACAGAAAATGAGCCGACTATTTTGTGAATTTAGATTATACATGTCTAATTTTTATGCTTTTTCCGTTATTGTAAAATAAGTATATAATTTATTTTGAAATCGTTCTTATGTGTGTTGAACGTCCTTTAAAATTCAATTTTTATAATACATTTATAGGGTGGAATACTGATGGTGCAAGATAAGAGTCCTCAAGATGCAGAAGTTCTAGTTGAAAATGTACTTGGACATGGCCCTACCTTAGAACGATCAGGAGTCGGTGGAGGAACTGGGTCATCTAGTGGTACAAGTAGCTCTGATCTTGCTGCTGCATTAGGCTCTGGATCTAATTCTAAAACAGAGCTTATTCATGCATCAACCATTGGAGCTTATCTTGACGAGGATGATGATGACGATGATGAGGAAGATGAAGATGACGATGAAGATTCTTCTAGTGATATGCATGAAGAAGATGAAGATGATGATGAAGAAGAGTTTGATGTAGCTGCAGCCACTGTTTCGACTGTTGAAATCGAAGAGTCTGACGATCACACTTCTAAAGGAGATATAGAAATGAGTGAGAGTAGTGCAGAGGTGAGACGCGACAAAAGTCGTGGAACTACTTCAAGTCGTCGTGGCAGCAAATCATATGTATCAAGCTCTGAACCAAATCCACCAGAACCGTTTCTATACATAGAAGAAGGTACAACATCGCAAACAACAACATCTAGCATTGCTGGCAGCAGTAGTACAAGTAATAAATCAGACTCCACTGTAGCTACAGACACCTCTTCTACTAATGCTAAACAGTCACCTCCAACTTCGTCCTCCGAACCAATGGATGTTATAATGGAAACTGATAAAGAAGCAGAAAAGAAATCAGATTCTGAATTGGATAGCAAGTCAAAAGACAATAATGACAAATAAATCGATAATAGTTTGGTTTCAGCTTTATGTTCAGTGCCATGCAAACTCTTTTTCTTTGTTTTGTTACATTCTTTGGTATTACACTTCTGTACGCATGGAAAATTCGAATGTATTTTTCTTTACTTGTTCATTTTTGACTCACTGAATGTGTCTATTTTTTGTCTGAAAACTGATGTATAAATGTATCAGTTTTGTTTCTTCCGATGAGAAAGATATATATACCGACGTTTCAAAAGTGTTAACTTAATCTGTATAGAAGCTTGAAAATAAGTTTTGTCTTCTTGTATTGGTTCTATTAGTAAATGTGGATTTATCTAGTTAATTTCTGTACAAGAAAATTTTGATCACTATCATGCAATTACAACTTGTCTGGTAGTTTAGACAGTTGACCTCTCAGATTACGAGTAAAAAAGTAGTAGAACGGTTATCTATACTTTGATTATAACAGTTTGACTCGTGTATATATAGACTTTTCAGTATTGTTCTCATATTAGTCAGTCACAACGTAGAACCTGTACGTATGTACTCCGGTCCAATTTGCCACATCCCATTTTCACAGAGATGAAGTTTTCAGGCCTAATCCCAGAATAGTAGATGTAGTAACCGTATCTGTGGTAACAAGAAAGACTAGGCATCGAAGACAAGACTCGAGAAGAAAATATAAGTAAGCGAAATAAAAACGAAAGTTATGAGAAACTTGGGATCTCAGAAATTTTAGGGAATCAAGGAATAGATGCACCTGCGCCATTAAAAATGATTTTGAGCCATCTCATTCAAGGTCTAACCATTGGTTACAATAATCACACAGACGCCGACACGGTAGTCTATACCTATTAACATGGCTAAGTCCAATCGTCAATGACTTCATTCACAATTTTTGGTTTGGCCACCCCTAGCTTTCTTGCAGTCTACTCTCGAAACAGAAAATATCGTCCGCTGAAGTAGGTGGTGGTTGGGCATACGTAACACGTCCCAACCACCTCAGTTGATAAGTATATACTACTTCATTAATCGATTTCTCATCCTTACCCGGTACTCTTCCTAACCCAAGCACTGCTTATTCCGTGGTCTTAAAATATACGAGCAATGCTACTTAGATACCTGTGACAGAATACTAGTGACCTACGAATATTCTCCATTATTGGCCATGTTTCATACCCATGAAGTAGAACGAAGAAAACTGCTACTCAGTAAACTCGTCCTCTGTTTCAGAAGGATATCTACGCTACAAGTGATCCAAGTTGACAAAAGCCAATCGAGCCATCTGAATCTGTACCAAGATTTCGTTGGACATCGGACCATCAACTATTTCACTCCCAGTCATTAGTTCAGGAGCTGACCCAAGCCAATCCCGAAGTTGTATTTTACATTTGGAGGGAGGGAACCTCAACTTAAACATGCTTGCATTGTTGCTTAAGGTGATCCGGAAACATTGCATTTTGTCAGCGTCTTCACCAAACAGGAATATATCACCTGAGTATTCTAAGTAAATAAGTGAATCTCCTGGTAGAAAACCAATCCCTTAAAGTGTCTAGGAAAAAGTTAAATAACGATAGGGAGGGCATGCGAAACTGACGAACACATCTTGAAGCCATTAACTTCGATGACAATTCTTCATAAGGTCTGACTCCACCAGTGTTGTTCGAATAGAGAAACTACAAGGTTAATGCACTTTTTCGGTACGCCTTTCAATGACACACTGCCATAGAACTTCACGATCAACGGAGTCGAACGTCTCCCTAAAACTAGTCGGACGTCGAGAGGTATGTTTATGATCTAAAATCTGCCTAAGGGTGAATATTTCTATGCATCCACGTCTAGGTCTGAAACCAGCCTGGTTTTCTCGGGTTTGCTCTTCACTAGCTCTAGTTAGACGAAGTATTATTGAGGCTATTTTAAACACCATATTACTTAAACTGACTCCTCTGTGATTATCACAAGAGGATTTTTGTCCTTTCTTATAAACTCGAACGATCATCATTCGAGAACAGTCAGATGGGATTACGTTCAGCTATCAAATTTTAGCTAAGATTTCAGTCAATGTAACTGCTAAAACTGGGCCACCATCCTTAAAAATCTCAGGGGTTGGTTAGTCAGGCCCTGTTCCTATCCCTCGTTTTAGATTACTTACAGCATTTATAACCTCACTAAGAGTTGGAAAACTTACATGAATTGGCCATTCAGGTTGCTTGGAGATAGTGGATAACTGAAGTGTAGCTGGTGACCAATTGGACTGTTCTCTAAAGTGTTTTGCCCATTAGTCCAGTCTCCTGGATCGAGGGTGAATAATAGTCCCATCATTTTCCGAGATATTTTCACTAATAGCTGGCTTTTTAACACCCATTTCCTTGATAAGTCTGAACAGTTGTCTGCTGTTACCTATCGTTGTTGTCTTTTCCATCCCTTCTGCATTCGCTATCCACCATTGCTCGTAATCATTAGGTAGGCTTTTAATCAGCCTACATCTAAGCTGCCTCCGATCCTCATGCTCAAAGTTAGACAGGATGAATTTCCGAGCATCTGTCAGCCCTGTAGACGTCGCTGAAATTCACTGATTATTCCCAACGTTTTGGTTTAGGTTACTACACCTTTTTAGATATCATACCAAGCTACCTCGGGGTGGATATCATCCTCAAGATTGACTGGTTCCTTCTCTGGTTGTTCTTGAAATATATTTTCAATTTTTTATCATTAACTTGGACTGTAATGGGTTTTCTTGATGTGATTTTTCTACTTCACTTTTACCTGAAGTTTATGCTGATGATGCTGTTCAGAGCAACGATGAAAGCTCCACGACCAAACCATCCATCTCAGAGAACACAACTGCATCAAAATCATCCGCCTGAGTTAAAAATCGTCATCTTATTTTGCTGTTATGTCCATACTTCAGCTTTGAATCTGTGTATTCTCCACAGCGTGGAATTATTCAAATCGTACTCTCTTCCATTCGTTTGCTTCTGTTGATGATTTTAGATAATTCTCGATAAATAATGAGATTCAAATGTAGTTATTAACAAATTGATGATCACATACTAAGTATTACTTGTTCTAAAGCATTCGACTAAACTTTTACTTTGAGATTCCTATTAAAATCAATCTATCCTAGGTGTGTCTCTTAACAAACCATGTTGGAATGTACAATTTCATGGTTTAAACAAGTAATATGTGGTTGAAACTTTTCATCTATTGAAAGGTCAGTTCAAACTGTGATTATTTTGAATTTGTTAACTATTAACCGAATAAATAAATTCAATAAAAATTCAGTGAAATCATTTGTCTGTTTCGAAATGATGGTATTAGCGGATTTGCTTTAGTCTCTCAATCTTCAAGGTTCAAATAGCAAGTTTCGGTTGCTATTATCAAAAACAATTTCATTATCTCCTTCAAGTGGACGAAATATGATGGAAGTTTTATTTTTAACCTTCCAGAAAATATTCATTGTTGAATACACCATCGTGCAGTATTTTTTGAAGATCCTTGAACCCAGTGTTTTGTTAAAACTTCGTTCTTAGTCTACGTATTATTATTTCGAAAAGACGAAATTTTTTCTTTACAATTACAGGTAGTGAAGCAGTTAAAAATCAATGTAGTGTAAAATCAATTTTATATTACGTTTGACAGATTCTGTGCAGTTTTCATATAATATCGTGATGCTCTTTATTCAAAATTGAATATGTATTATGTATTTAGTAGATGCCTGACTGTAATTCATACTGTTCATTAGTACTTTATTCACCGCATTAACACAATGATTTCTTACAAACCAGCTAAACGAATGATACATAGAACTGTCCGTACTCGATTGCCTTCAGGATGCATCAGTTGATTGTTCTTTTTGTTGTATTTCATCATTGTACTACTTATTATTAAGTAGTATAAATTACATTTTAGCATTTTAAGGAAGTACTCCAGGACATCGTGTTCGTTTGTCAATGAGAAACTACTAGTCCATCCATGTCTTATTTCTACTTGACTATTATTATTATCGTTATTAATAATGGCTTTATTCAATATTATATTTTTGGAACAATATGGAATTTACAACACAAAATGTTTCAACAAGTTTGCGTTTCTTACTTCTTGGTTGATCCTGACAATAAATATTGAGTGATCACCAATTGGATGTTAGCGGCTCAGGAATGGACATCTGAATAATATTCATTCCTTTCAATGCATACTTACAGCTAACACTATATCTCTGATTCTACTTTTTTGTAACTTGTACAACAGAAAGTCGTAAACGTTTCATAAACGCGCCGAAATAGGTTGTGCGATTAATATACATAATTATGTGCTAAAACACACAAAAAACAGATAACTTATTGAAATATCTAGATAGCGGGAACAGGTAGCTCAGATATTCAAGTAAGTCGTCAATCTGAACCAGCATCTATTCCTATTTTATTGGTATAGTCTCTGTGTATGCTAATCTTCACGAACTATGTTTATTCTTGTTGCCTTGGCAAATTTGGATGAATAATAGGGTTATAGCTCAACATCTATTCAACAGAGACCATATCATCGACGTTCATAAATTATTCAACAATGTCAATAGATAAAAACATGCTACTTGTTTACGTTTCACCGAGGTAGTTTTTACTAAAATAGCAACTGAATCTATGTGTTCAGAGAGAGTCGTTCGTCAATTTGTCACTATCATAGTGAATTCATAGATTAGAATCTGATCCTATTATTATTATTACTATATGTTTTGTGATTACTACTATTGTCTTGTTACGCAATCTTTGCTTAGCTAAATGTTATTTCTGCTTAAAATTAGTTTTCTAACCATCTATGATTTTTAGTTAATCAATCTTCAATTATTTCTCAATCCATCTTATTAAAAATCAAAATTCTAGATAACAATTACAGATAATTGTTGATATTTTGATTTTTCAGTTACTAATGTTTACTACTTAATAGTATCCTATGCATATACGATTGTAAGCAGCTGAAACGAAACTACTCAGTAAAATTAATTCATATTACTCTTCATCAGTTGTTGTACATGGGTTAAATTGTTAAAAGAAAAATGACTAATTACACAATTCTTATGTCATTATTGTTTGATAATCTGAAATATGAACACTATTTATGTAAAAGAATCAAATGATAAATAGTACTAATTGTTATTTAGCAAAAGGTAAGTAAAAAGAGCTTTAATATGTCATTTGTAACTAGTTGTAATTTGATTAGACGAATGGTAAAAGTAGGAAGCGAGGCTGTAATAAATTATTATGAACTCAGAGATCAAGTTTATCAAAATAGTTACCGATATCTTAAACTGTATGCAAATCTATGGTGCGTGCTACTTATATTGATATAAGTAGTATATGTCTGGCAGCTGAAGATGGAGGAAGATTAAGGAAGGAAGAGCGGGAACACAATGCAATTTGTAAGAAAATGCATGAACAATGAAATATGAGACAATGGATTGATGTTTGCAACAAGAACAGTCCAGGTTGATATGATAGATTGATATTTTGCAAATTAACGATTCGCTATAGGTTTTTCTATTTTACCGAGTAACTCTGTAATTTTGTGCTAAATACATTCGATTGTCCCCACTGGTGTTCTTGTTCACTACAAATCAAGCCGCATATTGAGTAGAATCTGTTATATTATTCAAAAAGACTTTGTTTAAATTTATTCGGTGTACTGTATCAATCACACTTGATATATTTTTCTTATCAGTGAACTACACCGTATCCGAAAAAAGTGATCAGATTCTGAAATCAGTTTACTTCTATTCTTAAATTTTGTTACAAGTTATGCGTCACAAGCTGAATATATTTGTTGTCACGTTTCTTATAATAACTTAGATGCTGAATAGTTATTAGTTTCGATTATTTTATGAAAAAAAGTGATCATTTTGTAGAAATTATTCATATTTATTTACTCTTATCTAATGATTAAGAAAACTGAGGAGAATATAATGTACAATACAGAGTAATAGTAAGTGTTTGTTGACATAATTTCAGTTATAGTTAGTAAACTCTTTGTAGTATCAGAGGATAAATCATGACGATATTTTAGATACAACCTAGATGTTCAATGCAAAACCCATATTTTATTCTGTTTGGGATTTATCAGTTGAATATACTTACATCTATGTTAGTCTTTCCAGTGTGACTCTAATCTTGTACCTATAATTTCAAACAGCAATCATGAATATGAATGAAACACAAAATTACCCAGTTGATAAAATCGAAAACATCTCCCTATAATTAATAAGGAAAATTTAGTTATCATTTAAAAAAATAAACCACTTAAATAATTTTAAGATTCACCTTACCACTGAAAGAAAATGTAAGCATAGAGATACATTATATCAAGAAATTTTTAAGCTAGTATACTAAATGGTCAGCGACAAAGTAAATCTCTAAAGCACTATGGAGAGATTTCATGATTAACATTTTATAAGTTGCATTGACCGTTAAAAGTATAAGATAAAACTAAAAAGCAAACAACGTCTTTAAAATTTCTTCAAAGAAAGCTACCGATTTAAAATATTCAATTGTCTATTGATGTCATGTTATATTAAAACAAAATACCCATCTGAGATCTTTAAAAAGTCTTTAATTATACTAATCATCCCTCTCTCCACGCAAGATACTCAACATCCATTAACCGGATACCATCAGCAACAACCCACTGTGGGAGAGAACAAACCAACTCCCAATTGAAGAGGAAACTAGGAAAAGACGATGAAAATGGATAGAGAAAAACATTGAGGAGATCATCAAACTGCATCACGAGGCAAGCCCTAACTTGGAATCCTGAAGGAAAGCGGAAAAGAGGAAGGCTAACGAACAACATTACAACACGAAATAGAAGCAGATAGGAAAAGGATGAATAACAACTGGAAAGAGCTAGAAATGATTGCGCAGGATAGGATTAGATGGAGAGTGCTGGTGAGCGGCCTATGCTCCTCCACGAGGAGTAACAGGAGTAAGTAAGTAAGTAAGTAAGTAAGTAAGTAAGTAAGTAAATAAGTAAGTAAGTAATCATCCCTCTCAAAAAAGTACTCTTCATTCAATCATATTGTAGTGTAAATAAAAATGTTTTCATACTAAAATCATTGAAGTATTTTTGTATTACATAACAACACTTGTTTACTTTATTCTTTTTTCTCTCTACAAATACGTTACAGGAAGTTGTTTTAACTAGATATCTAATCTAAATATCAACAGATTAGTAATACACAATTATATTTATAATTACGAAATAAATAAATTTTTAAAATGTTCGCCATATATATATATAAGGGTACATCACTGGACACAGTTTCTTTTCTAAACAGTCATTCATTCGTGTTTATGTATATATAAGTCTTAGTTATATGATTATTCATAAAATAAAGCCTTATTAGTTTAATACTAATGCATATTGCTATGAAATACTTGTCGAAATCATTTCTAAATTTAAATAATCTCAATTTGTAAAATCTACTTTGCAGATGATCGAAGATTTATGTAAACCAAATAAACATGTATCATGAAGTCAATTTTTCAGTGCCTACACATTAATCTCTCCCTCAGAATATATAACTGTACTCGATTAAATTCCTAGAAACAAGATTTCTCTATGTTTCCAAGTGTTTAAATTATAAGTTGCCATTCAATAATCACTAATTTCATATTATCTAGTACTCGATATTGATCTAATTTTATCGATCGAGTTACTATGTAGTAGTAATGATAACCAGTCATTAGAGTACTAATAAGCTATCAATATTGCCTTCACATAAAATAGAGTGATATATCTATTAAACTAAAGGTTTAAGATATTGACTTTCTAGCCAATTTCTGAACTCCACAGATCTTGAAATTTTGAATATCAAAAATAAACCAAAAGGAGAAAATATAAAAAAGGTTTACTTTTATATTTAGCGTATCTTAAAGAAATATAAGGTATTTTTATGGTGTCACGATCAACCTTGGGACTCTGGTTCATTCTAGAAAATATACTGAAATTGGAAGTAAGTTAGACATTTAATAAAGCAGATTAGCGAAGCTCATAATGATTTGGTTTCTAGATATCCTTTAGAAGTTTCTGAGATTCACATACAAGATAAGCTTATACAAGTTTTTACTGAATAATAGATGAATCACTATAGTCTTGTTGGTTGCCACTATACTTATTCAAATAACTATTCCTGAACTTTTCCGCAAATGTTATTGACAACATTGTTAGCACTGATCACTTACGTGGACTACAATCTATCTACATACAACCCTACTACTAATAATTGTGCTTCAATATTCACGTCCATTGATAAAAATAGCACAGTTTTCAAAAAGGGTGACTAGTGAAATTTTCAGGTCAATGATGTATGTTTCCCAACGTACTAGAAAGTACTTGATCATTGAAAATTGTTCAAGATGTTAATTATCCATTAAGTGAAATGTCAAGTCTCGTAAGCAAACATGTACTCAAGGATTAACTAACGATTTCGAAGTAGAGATAAAATATAATGATATATATAGCATTTCCAAGATATCATAATTGTCTAGTTAATATTTACGGGAAGAATTAAATGTTATACTGTTTGAACATCTTGTAAGTGCCTAGAATTTTGTTGCTTTCGTGTTAAATTTTACATATTTTACACAAGTATGTACTTCGAACTTCATAAATGTTTACAAAATAAAAAAATGTTTGGTTATCATTCTTTAACACACAGCTTGTAAAGAAGTCTTATAATTGTTCATGGTTAAGTATAGAAGTCATCTTATTGGTAACTTATCAAATACACAGATTTATATCCATAGTGATATTATAAGTTGGATAGAAATTCATCAAATACCAACTCCAAATTTCTCAACGTCATTAACTCCAGTGTTAACTTGTCACTATCAATAGATATCAGACAATTACAACGCTAATACATTCATAATGTCGAGTATTTCAAAATATGAATTAATTGATGAAGGGTTGTAGCACCGATGGCAGCACATTTAGTCAACTAATGATACAAAAACCGAAACGAGTATTCTAAATTCTCGTATTCATTATCACCAAACATCCTCAATGTTCTATGTTTGGATTCTGAAGAATTCAGTAGAATACTACTGGTTCCGTTGATCATATCTCTCAAATTCACATTGATTTATCAGTTAGCCTCTCCAAACTATCTAAAAAGAGACGAAGAGAGAGAGCGAGAGAGTAGATTTCACCTAAAACAGACATGCACATGATAATTTAGCAGAAACTAAGTTCAGTGAAAGTTTATATTCTGAATAGAATTGATAGTTCAGTGAACCAGTTAAAACTACCTTTTCCTGATGAATCTACATACTCAAAATTGTTGCTTTGTTTACTGCACAATGGAAACGTTAGTAGGAGTAGTTAATTAAATGTATATATTGTCTCCTAAATTGTGAAAATTACACATTCATACATTCAAAGTATTATCAGATATTAATTCAAATATATTGGTTGTTTGGATGTTCCCATTAATGTTTAGGACTGCAATTGATCAATCTGTTTTGTAATATGTGCACGTGTGAGGATTGTTTTGATATTGCTAGTAGGCTACAAGCATTTTAAGCAGAGACGGATGATGGCTATCTATTGAATCCAGGACGTACGTTTTGTCCTATGCTGGCCGCATCAGCTGGATGCAACTGCACCCCAGAGTTTGTTTAAAATATCATCAGATAATTATGAACTTACTGTGAACTCTGCAAATATAATGTTGTACATTCTTTACATAATGATCACACCTCACTAATTTACAGAATGTTTCGGTTTTACAATACAAAAAATGAATGAACATCCTGCAATTTGTTGAATTTGATAAATCAGACATGATTTTCTGAAAAACTAATGAATTGTTTCGTTGTTTAACGAACAAGTATCCAAGTTATATTTATTGAACTAATCTAGGAACTTATAAACATATGATTTAATTGAATTGGGTATTATCTTAGAAAAATGTTCGGAAATATAAACATTAGGTATATCAACTGACTTACAAGTTTATCACTAATAGTCAATATATAAATTATTAGTTGTCTATTACACAGTAAGTTGTTTACAACGGCTAATGGTACCTTACATCTTCGTAAGTTGTTTCCCACTCATTTACTCTCTCTGTCTGTCTGTCTCCATCCGTGTTATTGTCTAATATGGCGTGATTCCTACTTAGTCAATTATAATATAAAAGCTTAAGCATGATAATTTTATTAGCCATTAAATATTTATTGGTAAACTTATACTGTAATATGAAATTTATCTTAGTTTTAAGCTTATTAGTCCTTGTCACATCAGTTTTTGTTGAGTAAGTTTTATTTATATAACTGTATAATAATAATAAATTCTATTAGGGCAAAATTTAATTGTTTTAATGATATTAGTTTTATGTTGATCACGTTTAAGAAGTTAATTAGTTTAACAATAGTTTTTAGTATCCACTTTTTGTTAGAATTTGATGAATAATACATACATTTAGTTTTACTTCAGGTCTTATTATTCATCTCGTACATTTAAGCTAAATATATGGACGTAAATATTTAATAAAAGTCTAAGTAGATCAATTTATTGCATAATTTGTGACATTTGAATGTGATCAAGTTGTTCGTTAAGGTAGTCACTATAAAGAGAACATTCATTCGTCACATGGAAATGAGATCAAGCTTAGGATCTTCAGAGTTTGAACTTAATATTCACGTTCTCACCTGTATATAGTTTACCTTATTATCTGAATTTCAGCCAACGTCAACATTGATCACTGTCTCGTTCTCGACATGATTTCTAGCAGCGCATTGAAAGTTCGTTTCAAAGTTGTCAGTAATTAACTCTTAGTTTATAATAACAGAAGTATGTGGAAACTGCGATTAATCAGTAATTTTATCAACACATTAGAAACTTCTTTCATTAAGTCAAGGGTTTTTAAAGATGAAGATTTACCATAGGTTCATAGAATCTCAAGGAAATCACTCACATACATGCAAATAACCGATCAGATCGGGAAATTCAAGTAAAATAATGGCATTAATACTATGTGAGCAAAAGTAAAAAGTTGTTTGAATAGATGTATATGCAGATCATATATATATATATATATATATATATATATATATATATACGTTAACGTCTGAAACATGAATAAAGAATTACAAATGTTATAGACTATTCGTTGAAATCGCAATTTCAAAATATGATTTCAAAACATTGTTGACTGTGCTGTTGAGTTGCAAAGTACAAATATCTATTTAGCGTAGAATGGTTCTTTATCAGCCGTTCAAATTATATTATTTTATGAATGATGTATGTAACGAAGATTTGAATTTCTAACTATGCTAGTAATAATAATCACGTCTTATATATGGTTAAGTTGCTGACGAAGAAGAATATACATGTATTCAAAAGTCTGTGATTCTAATCACCTTGGTTACATGTTCAATACCGTTTCATAAAAATTATTATTATCATTATTATTGACGAAAGAGATAAAACAGTCAAACTTTAATTTCTTTACAGTGATCTTAACCATAGAATCGATGATCGATCTTTTATTGGTATTATTATTTGTTTTTTGTTGACATCATTTTTGAATTGTAAAATTCAAACGGATCATCCTAATGACTGAGTGACGATTTAGGTGAGATCACAAGCGCTTTTATAAACATTAAACTCATGTTAGGGACGAAAAAGCCCAGTTGAAACTTCTACTTAGAACATATTTATATAACAGAAAATGTTTACAAGCAGATCTAAATTCTAAGCTGAAAGTATTGTTATCATTATAGAATGATATAAGGTAGGGAATGATTGAAGCATTGGGAAAAATATACAGCCATATTCTTCCTGTTTTGAAACGTGTTAATAATTAACATAAACCAAATAAGACGGGATCGAGTTAAAGATCCTTAGGTTCAAGGAATATTACTTTATCTCTACACCATTGAGTGAGCATTTTTAGCGCTTTCAAATTTAAAAAAACAAACAGCATAACTCTTGATCAATGCCATCTGTGATATCTGTCGCACTTTCAAAGTAAACATTTAATCTTGATTCTGTTTATTTCATCAAAAAAAAAATCGGAAGTTTGCATAAATTAACTCACACACACACTTCTTTTCTTTACTTATATTACTATCAGAGCAAGACCTGAAGGTGATGAATTTCTACTGGTAAGTGAATTGATTTATTTTCTTAAAAATTATTATAGCGAAAAATGCTATCGGATACTACTGATAAACTCAAAGTGTTAACATTAAAACACTTAACAATATTTCGTAATAAAGTTAAAAGTTATTTCAAAGAAGATGGTTTAGGTGAGAAAATAACAGAAGTTTTAGTTATTCGTAAGTTAAATAAATTAAATAATTATTTATTTTTGTAAAATTTTAGTTATTCAACGTCTCAATAGACGCTTAGAAAATTGTTTAAAATCATCTAATTTAGAATAATGAAACTTATGAAAATGTTTTATCATTTTGGATGTATTTAAAAAAATGCAAATAAAGAAAAAAAACAAAAAAAAGAAACAAGAAACAATCATCAATATATATATATATATATCTTCTTATTATAAACTAAAGTAAATTATCCATAATGAAGGAATTAACAGTTAGCAACAACAAAAAACAATATAGGAACTACTGATGAATCTTTTGTTATTCTTACTTGTATACAATTCAATGTTTCAATATTATTATTTAAATGATTAATAAAGAGAAATAGTCTAGCTAAAGAATGTTATATAATTAAGAAATATACTACCGATAGTAGTTGATCTATTGAATAAATAAGCTATGATCAGTGGAGCTAATCTGTATCGGGTAGAGACAGGTATGTTCGGGCAATTTCGTGGATTGGTTGAGGCTAAATATTAACACCGTTGGATGCCGGCTTAATGGTCTAGAGGTTAAGTAGTTGAATTCCACCAGCGGGATCGTGGATGAGAACTGATGAGTTGTCTCACAATAGGATGAAATGACCATTCAGTACTTCCAGGTTTGTAATGGTAGTCTAGCATCAATCGATTCATGATCTCAGTCAAAATAAATACGAAACTGAATGAGTATATTGTGATTATTGAAAATATGAGAGATAGTATAATCTATAAAGTGTTGCATATTATGATATCAACCTTCTAGAGTAAAACGTTAACCGAAAATTAAATAAATGAGTATAAAATAATAGAAAATTGTTTGTAAACATATAAAGGATGGTTACATTTTTTACGATCACTGTATAAACAGTTAGATGTTTTTAATAAAAATATCTTAACTAACAAACTGATATTTAATGACGCTTGACGATCAAACATGAAAAAGATTAGTGTTATAGCTTCAATAATCATCTTTGTTCAACAACAGTATTCTAATTTCAAATTTATTTCAGTTACTGAGATCTGCAACGATTTTAGCATAAATGTGTAAGGGAATTTCAAACTTTCATCATAGTGTATCTTTTCAAGTATTCATGTCTGAGTTCTACTGAACCAAGATTATAAATTGAAAGCACTTTGCTGATGATTGATTATTTTTATCTAATGTGCTTTTAAACGATTATTCAAGGTATCTCCGTCGAAGTTAATGACATTCTCGTAGTGATTATGAAATATTTTAGACGTAGTAGCTAAAATCCATTACCGGCAACTAAGGTGATTGTCAGAGACATAAAAATCTTTGTAGTTTATTGTAAGCTATGAAAGCATAATTGCCTTAATGAATATCTTTTCCTAAACTCTATGATAATATAAACATTTTAAAATTTATCAGAATGACTTTTTTTTGGCGATTATTCAGTTGCATATTAATTTAAAGTATGAACTGAATTTAGCTATAAAGCATCCTAAGATGAATCGGTTTTTCAGTATCTCTACCAGCATACATCTCGTGATGTCAACTTTTAATATTGTTTACTTCAAAATGTTGTCCGAATTCTAAAAAACAAGTGTGTACTGTCCGTTTCCAGTTCAATAATTAAATTGTAGTACAATGTGTTTGATATTTAAAGGATTTAAGATAATTGTAACTAAGACACCGAAATAAGTTTACTGCATATCAGTAAGGGAATGTTAATATCTATGACTTTGAATATGCTTAATAGGTATTTTTACGCTTAAAGTACATAATTTAAATATATGTTGGAATCAGTTTTGGACAGCACCACAGAGTCCAAGATTTATATCAGATTTCCATTTGCTTATCTAAATTCCCGTTTGGTAGTTTTTGTTTCAAATAAAGAATACTTTTCACGGTTATTTGTAAATCCAAACGATGTTACGATCCAATAGTATTTATATATTGCTGACATTTGATTCCGTATCAAATTCGAATCATACTTATTAGACTTTGGTTGGGTGTTTTATTCGACTTCTGTAATCTTTTCATTTCTCTGAGGATTCGTGCAAGATAAATAATTTAATCTTTTTAAATTCTTTTTTAACTTTTTCCTTGTTTCACATAAAATGTTACCTCGACAAGTAAGTAAAGTGTATTACTTATCAAATTCACCTGAAATTTGTATGGTTTAAGATGGGTTATTTTCTTACTTATTTTCACTTGCAAAGGTTCAGGCTCATTTCTCTTTAGAGTGAATAACAAAAAGTGACTTGTTCAAAAATTGTTTTCTAAGCGACCATTTTAAAAATTTAAAAAAAAAATACCCGAAGTTTTCTCATTCATATGAAAGTCTTTTTCACTAGTTTATGGTTTCTGACTTCATATGAGACTTAAGTTTATGATATTGATTTCCTGATTAAACATAATTACAGTAAATCATTGGATGTAGATTACTGTCTGGAATCGTCAAAGTAGAAATGACTAGTAATTTAGCATATTAATTATCTAATGTTATCAGTTAATATTCGTTTTCAGATAAGTTGACCTTGTTAGCTAAGATTGAATATTTAAATTGAGTCATTTGTGAGGAATCCATGATGAATCAACAAGTAGCGAATATTCTGGGCATTCTGATTGCATGTGCAGCCAGAAGAGAGATATCTTCCTGAAATTCAACGAGAATGTCTACAGATGACTAGAATTTTTCGATAATCAGTATATGTTATTTAAAAGACACCGATGTTCTGAAGTTCAAACTCTTGATTTTCAATAAATCTGTTCAGAGAGACTCCAGTAATACGCATGTATCACATACACAGATGATTGAAACCGTAGACTGCAGGTTTATTGGCAAACATCAGGCTGTCTAACTAATTAGCCCGAATTCGATAGATCACATTTCCAACTTCAGTCATTTATTTCAGGCGAGTTTCATTCAACACTATCAGTGAGTTACCGTTTCCCCCTCAACCTGATTAGCTTCATTGATGACAAGTTAACGATAGAAATTCGGAAGATCTGTTTTCAAGTTACGCAATGATAACTACGTCAACTTGTTACCAAAATGTACCAACAGAATATATTTTCCAGTATTGAACAGCCGTAACCAATTTTAATGAAAATAAGCTCGAAGTATTCAAATTATTTTATTATAAAATATTAATATTTGAATCTTTTACTAAAATTGCAATCCTAGCCTAGGCAAAGTTATCATTTTGGAGCAGAATCAGCTAATCGAATTGATTCCGAAATTTAGATTAGCGTTGATTCGCTTTAACCATAGAGAACGTTTTGCTGGTGAAAAGATTCAAGATAGTCTATGACAATTCTAGGAGAACTTAAAAAAATACGAATACCACATTTTGATTAGGTGCACAGTGAAACCATTTTGTTTAGTAAGCATCAGGCCATTTATCTTTGCTTACAACATATTGTTAAAGATCTCAGATAGGCTAACTTGATTATAGCTAAGGTTTGAGTAAACTGATCTGAGTAAATGACCAATCTATCGGATAAAAATTTCTCAATCCTAAACCTCATTTTTAAATATATGACGTGTAAGTTTGTGGGATGTCATTATTATTTTCACACTACTCTTGCAGCACTATGTGTAAAGAAACAGTGATCAACGTAGAATCATCCCCAGATAAAAGCAATCTTACTAGTCTGATGTCTCATACTAAGTGAATTTCACTTCATAGATAATGAAGAGTATTTGTAAATTAGTATTCTCTGTCCAGTAAAGGTTACAATTTCACATTAAATAGTTTGTTTACTGTAACTTTAAACAGAATGAGAGAGTTACTTATCAAGTGTATTTGTATTAGGTGATTAAATCTTAATTCAATCGACTAGTCCCCTGCTGTATAAATTACTCCTCACAGATTTCGAATTCTATGCGGCTGGTTAGATATTTCAAAAATATACATAAAAACAGCCATAAGTGAGATAATTAGGAATTGTTTGAGGGAAAAAAGAGGATTTATAATAAAATATGAGAAAATGAAGCGTGAAATTAGATTGAGCACATTATTTCAGAAAGTTAAGTAACCTAACTATTATAATTTCCCAATTTTGAACAAACATGCCGTTTGACTGGAATTTCCTTGAAAATTCAGCCATCAGATGACAAGTTTCAAACTTGGATTTTCATAACATTTGATGATTTTAATGAGTGCATCAGTTTAATTTTGATATTAAGGTCATTAATCATTACCTTCAGGTGAAACTAGCAGAAGTCTTTGATTAAAACATCCTGAATAAGTGTTTTAAATATGCAGAGATGACTAAATTTTATAATTAGAAACATTTTACTCGTAAATTGTTTGCTTGTTGAGGTCAACTTATATACATGTGACCATTTGATTACCTGATTCATTCTTCTAAGACGATCTGTTAAATGTTTCATTCCTCTGACTTCAAAGCGAACAGACACAAATGTTTTTAGTTAAAATATTCTATCAATCAAAAACATATAAATTTCGTTATTACTGATAATTTCAACTTTAACGTTGATGAAAGTATGTTTTACGCTTAAACGACTGTTCCGAAAATTTAATCAGTTTCCCTGTCCAAATACTTTTCACTGTAAAGAATAATTACATAGAAGATAGAAAAGAAGTCATAGCAATATCTACCATTATAAAACAGTCTAATATCCTTACTCACACTCGGGTTTGTCAGGTAACTGACTACAAATTTTAATGATTATCATGGGGTGTGAAGAAATTTCAGTGTAGTTGGTTGGCAAACTTGGACTCGGACTAACAACCTAGTTAAGATTTTGATATCGTCTATCATTGTGATACTATTCACAAACAAGTGACTAAAACAAAAGAACACAACTGGGATCATTACTTTAAATTAAATATTTGTAGTTTCTTTGTCGAATCCATCAACAGGATGTCTATCCTTATAGGAATCTCAGATCCGTTACTGAGACAAACAATCGGAACCACCGACATAATCGTATGACGGATTGATAGCTTTCCTATCCTCAACTCAGGTATTAGGAATTTTTCCTGGTAATTCTGCTCTCCTGATTGGCTTGGGGAGAGATGGTCTCTGGTTGAAGCCTAGTTTGGTCAAATACAGTTCGGTAGTAATGTTCAGATTTT